TATATATATATATATATATATATATATATATATATATATATATACACATATATATATACACACACATATTAATTTAACACTGACAGATGGTACAAGCCTGATCCAATATACATTGAATAATGCATATTGCATCAGTTCATGTAATGTTTTTGTTTGAAATGTGTCAGGAGTGGGGAAAGCAATAGAGCTGAAATCAGTCTCTAATGGGGTTTGTTCTTGGCCAAAAGTAGTATCATTTCAGTATTTTAAGTATTTATATATAAAGTGGGATAGAGCAGGGTGTCCTTGATTACCTCTCATGAAGGGAATGTTGCTAGTTATTTTAGCTAAAGCTGGTATGCGATGAGTGAGCTCATTCCATGAAAATAAGTGAATCTAATTGATGGTTCCTTTGTTCAAAACAGTTCTTGGGTGTGCGACAAAAGAATGAAAGCATATCCTTATCTTTGGGTTGCCTGATTCTTGACAGATTGAGTTTTTTTTTAATTAAATGCTATATATTAGGAATTGATCAGAAAGAAGAGCAATTATAACATCTTGTATGAAATATCCCTCCTGTGTAATGTTATGCTCAAAGTTACGTCAGTAGTGCCTAACTTTATGTTGTATTTATCTTTCAACTCCAACTGTTCAATTAGAAGGCATACAGCTTAAGAAATGGATTTATTACATACTACCCTAGCCTGTTGTGCATCTCTAAAATATTTCTTGCCATGAATCTTGAGAAGCAAATGCATAATAACTGGTGATACCATTGTACATGTTCTGCTAATTTGGACACTAAATATTTAATGAAAAAAAATTGCAAAATCGGATTTTCACCTTCTATTTCAAGTAAAGAAGACTGTTGATAGCAACCATGTGTTCATATGGTCTTTACAAAGTGGCTCATGTTTTTTACCAACTTATTGATAATTAAATGAAAAAGTATCACATCTTTCAAACTTCCTTTAGTTTAAGATGTATTTTAACAGGATCTGAGATCAGTGTTGAACCAGTTTACATTTAACTTGTAGTGACCCCATGGGTCAATCTTTCAAACCAATGGGGTGAGTTAAAAGTTCTAGATACTGTACTGTTAGATCATTAAGAATGTAACTAATTTTAAATTACCAATACTACATAACTGACTTAATGAAAATCTTGAATTCAAACTTTCTTTAGAAAACATTATTCTGAAGAAACAGTATTTATGAACTAAACAATGATAGTAAAAATAGTAAAGATGATATTTTAAATGTAATTTATTATTTCAAGAAATGCCAGGTTGAAGATAACCATAAGGAAGTATTTTCATAAGAGTCCTTGGACAAATCTCTCTGTACAGAAATGATAAAAAAAAAAAAACAGCTGTGTTTAAACATTGCTACCACCTGCATAATTTTAAAACATGAAGCTAAAGTG